ATAAAATTTCTGTGAGATATAGCAATCTCATTATGATGCTTATGTGTATAGTGAGCTTAAACTGAGCCATGAAGATACAGATTCACAGGGTCTACTTACAGCTTCCTGATGCTGCAGTCTGCACTTGGAGTAAAAAAAGCAACTCCCACCAAATCCTGAGACATTTCTTAATCATTGTTGGGCAGCTGCTTGCTCTAAATGTATCCGGACAGTAGCATGTTCTCATCCCTCCTTCTGCTGCTGGATAAAATATGGAAAAGGTATATGCCAAAGGGCATACCGAGTATTTTTTTGGCAAAATCTTAAGTTTGAATAAACACATGTAGCCACCTAAGTGTCTCCTTCCTGCAAGCAGTACGCTTTTCTGTTTCATGTTCCTGAATAAAACCGATTGAAAAATGAAAAACAAATAATAGACATTGTGAATTATCAGCAGCAAAGTCTTCTGAGTGATTATTTGTACAGATCTATTCTGGACATGGAAAAATTAGCATCTTATCATAAAAGCAGTCAGTGGGAATCTCCTCCTTTCTTACTGTAAAACTGATCCCTAGAAGTGGAGACGTATGCACAACTTTTTTTCAGGCGATGAGAGGGGGGATGAAATGAGAAAAGAGGATGCATATTGGACAGGGGACTCTCTTCAAATGCTATGTGGTCTCTCAGGCATTTGCTGGCAGACGTGTTTTGGCTTCTGGCATCACTCCTATGTTGACTTAGTTTGCAACAAAGATAAAGCAGACCTAGGGTTATTTTCCATTCACTTGGCTTTTCTCTGAGTTGATGCAGTTTCTTATCTAAGGGGATTTCCTTTCCATGGGCACCCAGCCTAACAACATTTGAACAGATGGGTGTTTCTTGTTGCCATCTAGTATGTCGTGGGATGATGTAAAGCAAAGCAGGCTCAGACAGAATATCTGTGAAAGATAACTGCCAGTATAACAGGAGGACCTGCTATATGCGCTAAAGTTTCATTTTCGCTTAACCTGCAACGGTTTTACAATTTCTGGAGGAATAAAAGGGGAAAGTTTACTTCGTAAGTAAATAGAAAAGGGAGACTGATGATACAGTTCTAGATACTAACTAAGAGGATCCAAAACAAATGTGAGCGCATAACATTATGACATGTGAAATAAGAAAATAGAAGCTGAAAGTCTGAAATTGTCAAAAAATTGAAAGGAGTGTAAAGGTGAGAAATGCCACAAGCTAACTGCACGCCATTAAAGAGAAAAGAGGTAATACAAACATGTACGTAGTCATACTACACATGAAAAAGCTTTCAGGTACAAATCTCTGTGGTTTTCTTTCAGTATTATGCTATGCTAAAGCATATATTTGTGCACTGCATAGTTAGTTACCCAAAGCTTTTTTAATAGTTATAGTTAAAAGGAACAGTAAATACTGTTTTCATGCACGCTATGGTGGAAGAGAGGATATTGAGTATGCTCTGAAAGATCAACAAGTGAGTGAGAGAAAATGAGCAAAAACTTCTTGAGTAATTGTAATCCTTCCTTTTAATAACTTGGCCATTCAAAGGTATTTTGTGTGAAGAAATATGTTAAGAGTTTCTAGTAAGAAGCTAAATATGTAAATTTTTTTTATCTGATGTTTTAGCAGGATAATAAGTTGTTTTCTGGAATCATACTGGAAAGTGCTCTTAACCAGATTCCCCACACAATAGGTCATGAATGAAACCCCTTTTGATTTTGCTATTTATTTGACATGAAGCTTCTATTTAATGGACACATGGCTTACATCAAGTAGTCACATTACCTGAATCAACAACCATTTGGGATTTTTCCTGTTTATCATAAAACCAGCATTCAGGAATAGTGAAAAGAAAGCATTTGGAGCTTATGCAATTTGTTGGTTTGCCCGTGTAGGGATGAGTGTCATCCTCCGTTTGTGTCTCCACTGCGAAGCCTGTTCTATGATCCTGCCCCGGTCCATCCATGGCTGGATCTTGGTGACATCCAAGCTGTTGCAAGTGTTGCCTGATGCAAGTGCGTGAAGCAGAGCCGTACCCAGCTGCTGAGGGTGGAACTCTGCTGGACCTTTTCACTTGTGAGGTCTGCTTTCATAACCAGATTGGCTGGTTAAAAAAAGGGGCTGTATGGCCATATTATCCCAGACGCTGAAGAGGCACAAATTTAGTAAATAAAACCTTGTGAAAACACTGGCTTCATTCTCCTCTCTCCTCCCTCGATGCAAAATGTGACTATTTTTAGGCCAAAAGTATTACTTCTGGAATGTTTAAGAATTTCCATTGCTTCCTCTCTGGTCCTCATATTTCTGGTACATCGCTATCTTACTTGAATAAGATAGCAAACTTACTGTGAACTTTTTAGCAGAGGGAGATGTTAGGAAAAAGAAAATGACAGCTGTAACACAAAGAAAGCGTGGAGGTTTCCCTGGGCTGCAGGTGCCCTGTGAGGAGTACCCGTTCCCCCGGGAAGGTCGGCTGCAGGAGTGGGCAAGAGACTTCAGACATGACAAAAAATAGGTTTTACTTATTTGTGTTGCTAAATGTCATGAGGCTTTGGGGGTTTTTTAGTTCAGGTACCCCAGTTATTTAACCCTCAGGCTTGGCAAAGCTGTAGGTGAGGCATTTGGGGTGAACCACTGATCATCAGGGTTTAACTTAGGGCTCACTGACTTACATGCATGCAAAAACTGTTGTGCTCAGTTGTTTCGTTCAAGTCATTGCTGTTCATAACATACGCAGGAATGGGCTCATCATTTGTACACGCATATGGGGAGAAATTCCTCTTCCAAGGAGCTCGTACCACCTAGCAAGGCCCTAGAGAGAGGCATTGCAGCACTCCTGCTAGGAGATCCCTCCATGTTCAACAGTCATGAAATGGATCCCAGGAACAAATAAATATCCTGACCAACCAGCAAAAGCTGGCTTTAAATGCAACTTTAAACACTCCATTCTGAGCTGCCTTCTTATTTTTGAACCTTTAGGGCTAAAGGGATGAATCTCAGGGCCCTGCAGCCTGCTGCTGCTCTGCTCTCTGTGTGACTCCAGGCATAAATCACTTGCGGTCAGAGTTTTCTAAAGCATTTTGACTGCCATGTCTGTGTTGGATTGTAGGAACACACAGCTGTTAGATAGCATTTAAAAAGAAAAAGAAAAACACGTGACAGCTATCAATCTATGCCTTCAGAAAGTAAGTATCTTCCAGAGTCATGACCTTAGTCCTTCTGTGCTTTGGAGAAACACAAAAAAAAAGGTTGGGAGCTGTTGGAATAACATGGTGTGAAGCCTGCCAAGATAGTCAGCTCTTGCAGTGTTACTGTGAATCACATGTTTTTTATAAAGCTCTAGTTCCTGGAATCCAGAAATGAATTTGTACCAAAAAAATAAAATTCCTAACCTCACACTCTGGAGAAATATTGGAAAATGTGACTGGAAAACGCTTATTAATATATATTTTTAGAACATCTAAGTCAAACGCAAGCCAATTTGATGATTTCTGAAAGTGTGTGGTTAATGCTATTTCATCTTTTGCCTTCTGTTAAATCCTCCTGTCATCACTGTTTCCTTTTCTTTTCTCTCAGAGTTTCTCTCTCATTCTAGCACTTTGCGCCCGTTTATGTTTGTTCCATCTTCTCTTTTGGACTTCTCACCCTTCATCTTTTCCCTCCTCATTTGCTCTACCTTTCTCAAGTGCTGTCTCTGCTTCCCAAAACATCCCCTTGCCCTGTCGCATTCTCATGTCAGGGGCAAACACTGGGAACAATAGTGTGAGATGTGTCTGAAAGCAGCTTGGTCTCCAAGGTTTTCAAAGTAAGGAGAAGTGCTAGTCACCATGAATAAAGGCAAATATAGAAATAATGAGACAGGTGTTTATATTATTGTTTGTTGAAAATGTTGGTTCATTTCCAAAACTTGAACTTTCTATTAAGTCAACTGTTTTGTAAATATAAAAATTAAAGGCTGCTCTGCATTAAAGGATGAAGAAGAATTAGTTACGTAGGTCTGCTCTCTCGCTTTCTTCCCTTTCTGCCTGTCTAGCTATACTGCACAAACTATCAGTTATTCACTGGGTAAGAGAAACCAAATTTAAAACACAGTGCCTTCAGCACTCACCTGGGATACAGGTATGAACACGGTTTATGTTCATACATCAAAGCTAGCAAAAGTAGAAAGTTGATCTTCTGTCACTCAATAGCTACAGAGCTATTTAGTCCAGTGAGTTCTTCTTGTTTTATGAAGGTAAAAAAACCCTTTTATTCTGGTCTCTATTGTGACAAAAACAAGATGTTGAAACTTCCAATATTTTCCAAAACTGAATTGTTATTTGTCCAGTAGTTCTGGTTTGCATGACAGCTGTGAGATATCAGGTGAATATAAGATTATTTAAGATGTCTAAAAATGTGATTTATAGTCTGGTTCTGAGATTTATCACATCCTACTCAGAAGATGACATGCTAAAGTTTTTCCAAAACTTTAAAGAAGTTTTTCCAAACCAGTGAGTAAAAATTACACCTATCCCCACTAGAGCTATTCCACCTAACCAGATATGGTCCTTCCCATTACTCGCTTGGTTTACATTATGTACACAGACTTCAATGTTGAAAAGCATTTTCAGTTGCACTGTAATTTTTTTACAGGTACCATAGCTTTTCTGTGCTAAATTTGCAATTGCTTCTCCTATTCATCCTGTTGTCTTTCAACATAAAATAAATCTACATGAGGTAATGCTCATTGAGGGCCATTTTCTCCTGTATAGTATAACATTAAATGGTGAAAAGTGATTTTTAAATGCCGTCATTAACATAATTGTTTTTATGTCTGCTTTGCCCTGGTTCATGTAACTGCAGAAGGCATAGAAGAATGGTAACTCATGCCTCCAGTTTCTAAGCTAAATCTGCCAACTTTCAAGACTGCCTATGACAGCTGTAACAATATAAAGAGAGCTTGAAGCTTTTTCCAGGCAACTGAGTCAACTGTTCAGTCCTGCAACATCTGTCCTTCTCCGTGCCCTGCCTTTCCAGTCTTTGCAGCACTGATGGCTACCTGCTGTTTATTACTTCAGTGATGGCTTCTGTGTCTGCACGTAGGGGTCTTCCGAGTCTCTGCTGCTTTTGGCCATGGGGCCATGGGGAGGAGAGTTAGAAGTGACTGTGCCTGCCGTTTTTTTCAAGGCTGCTCTGCAAATTTCTTTGAATCTCAGTGAAACTGATAAGGACTAGGTGAGATATGTTTCCTTGTTTTTAAAAAGCATACACAAAGTTTAGTAGAACTGCATTTTAAAACGTGGCAGGAACTCTGAACTGAAGAAACTGTATAGCTGCATTGTCAACATATTGAAAGGATTTTAAATAGCAGGACTCCGCTGAATTTAATGGGAAAAAGAAAGCATGATGTTTTAACAGTGTAAAGGAGGTTAGTTACTCTTATATATAGGGAAAATGATGAGTACACTGTGAAAACCTGCCTTAAAAACAAAACCTTTCTTACAACGTACTTTAGACGGTGCATGATTAAGAAGGTTGATGAATGGTCAGAAGCGGCTGATTCAATGCTCGTTGAAGTGTCCTTTTAAAATTAGTGAGGTTTAAACAGTGTTGATGATAACATTTTTAAGGAGGCATGTTGAATTAAATAGGCATCTTTTTAATTAAAACAAAACCAACCCTAATAGTGTAAATAAATGACTTCAGAAGAAGGAAGGCTGGTATGCTGGGAGTTTGCAAGAGATAATGTTACAGTCTCAGATGGCAGCAACTTCCTTATCACTGCTTCCTCAGAATAAAATCGTTGTTCAATTCTATGCTTGTTCCCTTGATTAGAAGAGTCCAGGAAAGACAGAGAAGGGCTTTTGTTAGCTAGGATGGGCAACAGCTTTCATCTCCTCACTTCTTAGAAATTAACTACTTCTATTTAATTTTATTTGAATTAAATTATTTCTATTATGTGTTTTAATTATTAAGTTCTTGTCCAGATGAAACTATAGGAATCAGCTCTTATTATGTTAGAGACAGCATATAGATGATTAACCAAGCTGATAAATATTGCGAATGTTTTAGCTTGCAGAGCATGCTTTCTGGGAGAGGGGGTTCCGATCTTGCTCATCTTAGGACTGTCTACCTTGAAATATCACAAGCTTTTAATCGTTGAAAAGATATGGTATATGCTATGGGACATATTTTTCATTCAACTTACAGCTTATGTCTTGTGTTTTAAACCTCAGGTGCTTTTATAACTTTTTTTTTTTTTTTGTACCTCCTGTGATAACAAAGACAATAGCCCCTTTTTTCCTGGTTGCTGTGCATCCCCAAATACTGTTGATTTTACTTGGGAGATGTCAGACCTCCTTAAATGAGGCCAAATGTCATTCCCTCTTTCTGGCTTCAAGTCATCTGAGGTCTCTCGTTGCTCTTTATAGCAGAGGAGGACAGCGCAGAACATGGGTCCTCCCAGAGAGGCAACTCTCCCCGCCAATATTTCATACGAAGGAAAATTTTCCACAAGATCATACTAACAAGATGTTTACTTTAAGCAAATGTTTCTTTTTATGTTTGCCAACTACTCTGCATGCAGGAGAATCATGTAACATTGAATTTGAGACATCACATCTAACCTAGGAGAACACATTGCAATTTCACTAACAAAGGGCTTCACTGTAGGGTTGAGGTGAGCCCTGAGAGACAGAAAACTCTTATTATTAAACACAAACAGACTTTATAAATACTCCTGGAGATTCAGAGAGTAACTGGAAAAGTAAATTGCCTTTTGTGTGACTGCTCTCTCCGGTCCTGTTTATGTCTCCCATAGGTTACATATATCACCTTGTAAATGCTTCCAGCTTCTCCCGCCCTAGAAAGCAAGCTGGCTAGGAGCTGAATATGGTTCCCTCACTAATTAACCACCAGGCAGCCTCATTACAGATGGTTTACAATTCCCTTATAGAAAAGTAGCATAGCAAAAAAATTTACTTTGTCCTGTAGTTTTGTAGGCCCGAGCAACCATTCCCTCAGCACATTGTCATTATTTAACCATTCATGGACCTTCCTGTTTGCAGTGACTTTTAAGAAAAATACAGTACTTTTTTCATTGCCAATTTCTAATCTCTTGAAAGGAAACCTTACTAAACTCAAAAAGCTGCTTCTTTCCTCTAACCTAGCCAAGGAAACTGACAATAAAAAGTTCTTACAGCTTGACACGATGCTGGGAAAAGTCTCACTTTTTGAAGGTAATGTGACAGTCTCAAATGGCTTTCAGGTTTATTTAAGCACAGACTGTCAATATAAGAGAAAATACTTTAAAATACTGATCTGGTCAATATGCATAGCATTTCTGTGAGTGTCCTGTTGGCTTTACTGACAGGTTCTGCTCTCAGGTCTAAAAGGACAAGTTGTGCAGTATATTTTTCTTTTCTTCTGGTTGTCTTAAGATTGGCAGACTGGATTATTATCAGAGGAAGTATTAAGATATTTAAAAGGATAGGATTTAAAAACTTCTTCATAACCTGTGCTAATTGTAATCTGCTGCACTTGGAAGCATTTCTGGGGAATATAGCAAACCCTATAAATGCTATCTATTAGACAGTATTGATGTCTATTAGACATCAAGCTGTGAGTTTGCAAAATGCCGTGAAAGCCATAAAATCTGCTCAAGTGTTGGCCATTGTTTGTTGCATCAAACAATAAATCTGAGGTAAGCTATTTCCAGACTGTGGGTCTCTGGGGGAATTGAAATTCACCTACTGAACCTGGACACATTTTTAGACTTGAGAGGCTGGATTCACCGCTCACATAAAGTGACACAAATCCACTGTAGGGTTATCTGAGTCTCCCTTGTCCTTCAGCGCCAGAGGATTTGGCCCTTCAGGGCTGGAAAGATGTGGAAAAGCAGATCAGAAAGCAAAGAACAGCACTGCAGACACCAGACAGCATCCCCTAAAGGGATTTTTTTTTTTTAAGAATTAGCTACATCCAGCTGAATATACCACTAAATGTTAGTGCTTTTAGGGAGCGGGGGGGAAGAGTTGAGAGGTAGGGGGAAGAGGGATAATCTCTATGTGGGAAATCTCTGCTTATTTGAAGGGCATACAGGTGAGAACATCTGGATTCATACCTAATGCACTGAACCCGAGCTTAGGAGTCCTGGACTCAGTCCTCATCAGAAGGCTTGTGTGCAGTTGGAGTGATGCATCCTCCATGCCTCGCAGGGTGGTGGTGGATAAATCTGTTCAGACACGTCTGTTGGAGCTGGATACCCAGCTCCCACAGAGAGAAATCTATAGGAAGTGTATCTCCAGAAAAGGAGAAGGAATTAGTAAAGGAACTTTTGGGACAATCAGACAAATCAGAAGTATGGAAGGGTGAACACAGTTAGTAGCCAAGAATTCTTGGTTATGAAATCCCTTAAATTGCCTGTTCACCTCTGAAGTGAAGTCCTGGGAGAGCTTCATTGTGTGGGAAAAGTAACCTTAAATTTGACAAAATACAAAATATCTGCTTTACAGAACATTCCTGTATTGGCAGGGGGATAGTCTAGGAATCAGACAAGAACCTTCCCTTGCATATAGAAAGATAAAACACATCTTTTCTAAGTACTTCTTTTTTCTATAGGTGTATTTTTGCAAGGAACTTGTTCATAACCAGAACTGTGTAAAAGGACTAGTATTCCTTTGTCAAAACTGATACTCAGAAATTATTCTTTTCTGTTTTTTAATACGGATTCATAGAATGTCTCTACATATATTTGTGTTTTTACAGAATACATAGTTTGAGTATTTGTATCACATGGCAATAGGTCAGAAATTTTGGAAACTGCAAGTCAAGGAAAACATTTAATATGGAAAATATACGTATTAAATTCATTAATCACACTCAGCCCTGGCAGAGAGCATAGACAGACCCTTCTGTTCAGTGTCCTCTCCAAAGTTTCATTTTCATTACGAATGTCTCATCTAATGCATTGCAGCAAAACTGACAGTGTTCTAATTCTGCATGAGCAGGAAAAATAAGACAGTTCTCCTTCAATCAGTATTTGCTGGACTTGGTGTTAACTTCATTTATTCGGGTTTACGTACCACCTGTTTTGCTCTTTGCAGCTGCTGCAACTTCCTTTCTCCAGTTTTGCTCGGTGCCATTACTGTCCTCCCTTTATTCCTTTTCTGTGGCCCTAGAATTTTCCCACTCTTTAGCTACCTCATCACCTTTAACACAAGTTTGATCCTTGTAGAGCTTCCGTTTACCACTAAGGTTTTCCATTTGCTTTTGTCTCCTAAGAATGAAATACATGTACTTTGACTGGTATAAAGAAATAGGACTATTATTTTGCTTGTTTGGCCCATTTACCACAACTTGGGCGCTTCCGGATGTGGAGGAGCTTAACTGCCTGCAGAGTTAGATAACAGTTGAGGAGGAATTTTAAAGGTTTAAATTCTGGTCTTAGTAGCAGATAATTATCACCCTTCCTGCATCCAGCTATGGATCTGGCCCTGTATTTCCATTGCTAGCCTTTAAACAATGTGCAGCTGAGATAGATAGATACCCAGGTAGGAGAAATGGACTTACCAAGCACACAGTGAAGTGCAAGGCTTGTACAATCCAAGATGCCCATGTCTTTTTTTTTGGCTCATAGGTAACGTACCCACCTATTTGGCAGAGGATGGAGGGCTCCTTCTAATGAACAAAGGGAGTCAAGTGACTCTTTTGTCTTCTTTTATGTCCCCCTCTGCAATTTTGCACAAAAATAAAATAAATAAAAAAAAGAATCAGACATAAAAAATAACTGCTTATTGAACAGCACTCTCTGCTGCCTCCTGAGAGATTTGCATGTGATATCAGTGCAAAGCTTTTTAATGCTAAAATGAACACTTCATAGGCTGGGGAAAAAAAAAAAAAACCAACCCTCTTCTAACAAGGAACTGGAGTGGATGGAATAAAATACTCTTGGATACCTGTGGTGAAACCCTGCTGTTTGCCCTCTCAGCCAAGGGGTAGAGCTCAGTAGTAACAAAAGAAAGGAGCAGGGGGGCTCAAACTGCAGGCACACATTAAAATTCATCCTCAGTCCCAGCCTGGTTAATCTCCTACTGACTTAGCGCCTTGTACAGGTGCAGATGGCAGCGTGGAAAGGAGGCTGACATCGGGCAAGGGGCTCACATCAAGGGTTATGCTGGTAAAACTGTGTTATTTTTAAAAGTACTTAACCTACCCTAGGGTTAAAGCAAAAACAC